CACTGACTTCCGGTTGTAGGGGTGAAAAAGGTCAGAGCCAATAGTTGTGCTCATGAAGAATGTCTTGTAGCCCCACATGTTGTTACAAAGATGAATTTATTGCCTGCAAGAGTATTACGAAACCTTCTGCAAGTCCTCTGAAAATTTCTTTTGTGTTACAGAGCAATTAACAAAAGTAAATCTAAAGCGATGTATAAAAGAAATTAAACAAACAAAAAGAAACGATTTTTCACAGACAATTCAGTGTTTCTCATCAATTAATTCAGTTCTTACTTCACGACAAGGCAAAAATACATAAAAACTCAAAATATCTGTATTAGAAATTACGAAGTAAATCTTACTGGAATGAATTCCAGAAAGGATTAAGCATGACTTAATTCGCAATAATAATAAAAGAAGGCTCTTTGTTGTTGCCGTGGCAACAAATCCACTTTTCATTTATAAAAAATATATTTCTTTACTTTTATTTTCCTCTTGGCTACAGTTGGCTTCGAAAAATAAAATTGTAACCCTGTAGGCAACGGGGGAAAGAAATTTTGATCGGCGCAGTTGGACTATAGAAGGACAAGGGGGGGATTTTCATCAGCGCAGTTGGAATACACCCATCCCATTCCCCCCCCCCGCAGTGTACAATTTTCGAATTTTTATGTAGCATAATCAGAAGGCGCACTTCGTATTTTGTTTCTGTTGTGTGTACATGTATTCTTCTGTGAAATAGTTGTTAAAAAATAGTTAATTATGTATGGATTAGTAATTAGGTACTTAAGGAAAAAAATATGTATTTAACTATTAGCAATTATGAATTTAAATAATGTATTAGTTATGTATTTATTTATTAAATATAAGCGCATTAGCTTTACATAAGTAAAAACAGTATTTTATTAATATAAATTGTGAATGGCAGCAATATTTAATTTCAATTTATAGTTGTTCTAAAAAGAGTATTCTTAGAATTTATGTATTAGAATGCGAGCTTCTCTGTACTTGTTTGATAGAATTCTGTACTGTAAATTAAAACATCTTTATTTGAGAATTTTGAATATGTAGTATTTCCTTATTAAAGCCTTTGTGTAGAATGAGGCTGAAAGGTAAGTAGTGTAGTAGCAGAAAATTCAGGGAATTTTTCGGATTGCTTCTTACAACCGGTATTCAGCGACTTTACACCTCGGCCTCTGATGGACAAATCTCATATATTTGAGAGCGCCTCTTTCTTTCGTGTTCGACCGATCACTTTCGATTCCTTATTTCTGTATGAATCCTTTTTGTTCTTTACTTGCTTGCTATTTATATATATATATATATATATATAATTTGAAAGTAGATTTCTAATAGTGCCTGGTGATGAAAGTAATAAATGTTATTTATTTATATGTTACATATTAATGACGTAAGTAGTTTCTGGTTTATTCATTTCCCGTAGTCGTCTTTTTTTCCCCTTCCATTCCCTCAAAAATCGCAGGTCGAGGTTCTACAATACTAAAACTTCTTAGTTCTGGCAATTCTACTGATTCACTTCTTGGGTATTCTAAAAAATTATTCAAGACCGTAAAAATTGTTATAATCTTATTAAAATTTCAAAGCATAGCCAACACACAAAACTTAAAAATACGAATTTTTTCACAGACGAATTACATCGGTTTCTAATTAGACTAAAGCAGGGGTTCTCAACCTGTGGTACGCAAGAGACAAATACGGTGGTACGCAAAGGAGCAAAGTATTTTTAAATATTAAATTCAAAAATTAAAACCCCAACATCCTGATTGAGTTTTTTCTCTAACACTCGTAAATTTATGCGATCTGAGCTTTGTTCAGGCGTAATGGTGGTAGTAGTACTTTGTAGTGGTGGTACTAAAGATTTTCAATTTTTTTTCGATGGTACGCATTAGTCAAAAGGTTGAGAACCGCCGGACTAAAGAATATAACGACGGCAACGTTTGACTAAAAAGAGATTTATGGGCTATCTGAGATTCAGCGCTTAGTTAAGTGGTTCAGTATTAGATATATTGAGCTAAAATATATTTTACGTTGTAAAATCACTTATGGAAATGATAAGAGATATTTTCAGAAGAATTGGTTCTCGATATTTCTTCCTGTCTGTATTTATTTACCATTTGATAATATGATTTTCTTTATTTCTGTAATTCATTATTAGCACCATGGATGCTATTAGTCTTTAAACTCATTTTCGTTCGTATCACTTCTGAGTCCGAATCACTTTTGAATCTATTGCCATCAAATGTTATCGCGATGGATTATTAAAATAATAATAATAATATTGAAGAATCTGTATTGCTTGTATGTTAGTTTTACACATTGTGAGAAAACGATGGCACCTAGGTACACCGAGTTTTTAATGCACGCAGCCCTCCATCCGAACATGGGCGCCTCGAAGCCCAAATTTTCGAGTTTTTTTTTAAAATTTATTTCATATTTTGTAAAAATTAAACGAATTTTGTTTAACAGACGTAACGATAGGAAAACAGTAAATAGCAACATTGTTCGAAATAAAACATTCTTATCCCCAGCGCTCCAGACTGTTGCCATTCGGCAAAACATTAGATATTTATCTCTAAATTTTTATCTAGAAATTCCAAGGAGGTTAGAATAGAAGGAGAGAGGGTTCGCAGTTTCCTCCACTATCGGGGAATGAAACTCCACCCAACAAGCGGCATCCATGTTTGTAACCTCAAAACATTGCATTACGGCAGTGAAACGTGCGTGTTTTTAAGCTGTCCGTGCATGCATTTTGCAATAAAAATATGTAAAATTTATAATGAAATGCTTTGCTATTGTTAGTTTTTTGTTTTAAAGTTATAAAGATGATATCCGTAATTTATTACGTACAGAAAATCATTAAGAAATAGTTCGACATCTAAATGTATGTGCATAACATTAAAGCCTTTAAAAATGATGTTTCTGCATGTTTCAAGAATTTGTTTCGGTTTTATTAGCAACCTGTTGGGTGTACTTTCCAATTTTTACTTTTAAGAAGTGATATTTCTGCTTTATTCACAATATTATAATTTATTAAAGAATCATTTAAAATAATTTTAACCTGAAATTAATAGCAGAGAATTATCTAAAAAAATAGTCACAGGTTGCATTTTTTTTTTAAATGAAAGATTTAAATAGATTCTTTTCACGACCAACAACTTTATAACAACAAAAAAATAAATATTAATAAAATAAAATAGATTGATGTGAATTCAGTGATTTCAGTTTATGCGCGTTTCATATTTATGAATCTCAAAGAAATTGCCTTGAATTAAGAAGCTGAATTACAGAAATATACCTATATAAATTTTTGGATACATCTTTCCACATGTTCAGTTGTGTAAAAATTTACTTAGTTTTATCGCTATACTGCCCACAAATTTGTAAGTTTACGCAAAAAAATTTTAACAACAGAACAGTTAGTTTATCTTGATCAAATGCACAAATTATATTCCTAACAGTTCACAAAACTTAAAAATGAATAATAATTACTACATAAAGAACAGCATTACTATTTGAGTTGAACCTTTACAATTCATAAAAACAGTAACAATTGATTTCTTACTTTTAAAGAAAATTACAAAACGAACTACCTAAAACGTTCAAATTATAGCAGTTAAATAAATCCTAGCATATATCATTCTATATGTTAAGGAACGAAGGATACCAGCTATAAACAAGAAACATTAAAATGTTATTTAAGGTATTTCGATCATTATTAAGTACTTTTTTTTTCACATCTGGAAAGAAAACAACATGACATTGTGATATTTTTTAAGCATATTTATCAAATTGACTTAAAAAAAAAGAAAATCAATACTTAACGAAGTGAAAAGTAATCCCTTAGGAATATTTTTCGAAAATCTATTTGTGCATCCATATGCAATACAAGCTGACATGCTTAAAAGGAGAGAGAAAAGGAAAAAATAATAAATGTTGCAATTACAGACTTCCTTGCACAAGTCACAGCGATAACAGAAACATGGCCGCGCCAAGCTTCACCGTTTTGAGTTGAACCTTTCCTCCTTCTATTCTAACCTCCTTGAGAAATTCAAGGAGGTTAGAATAGAAGGAGGGAAGGTTCAACTCAAACGGTGAAGCTTGGCGGCCATCTTCCTGTTATCGCCGTGACTTGTGCAAGGAAGTCTGTCATTGCAACATTTTTTTCTTTTCTTTTTGAAGCATGTCAGCTTATATTGCATATGGATGCATAAATAGATTCTCGAAAAAAATTCCGGGCATTATTTTTCACACGTAAGTATTAATTTTCTTTTTTTTTTTTTTTATGTAATATGACAACTATGTCAAAAAATATCACAATGTCATGTGGTTTTCTTTCCAGATGTGAAAAAAAAAGGACTTAATCTGACATGTATACATATATATTATATATTTTCCAGTTATTTTCATGTATCCTTTAGGGAATAAGTGTTTTGACGTCATAAAACGTTTAAGCCTAATCTCAATGCTTCCGTTTGATATTGATTTTAAAGCGTATCACAGAAAATTTTACTTTAAAAAATGCCATAATATGTTTTAATTATATTTATTAATAGAATATTGTAAGATTTTAAAGATTATGCATGTTCCAAGTGGCTTTTGTATTATCTTGTTATCGACAGCTTGAATAGTCATTAGGTTATTTTGATGCTGGAGACGTGAAAAATGAGCAATGCCCTCGCTGAGACTCGAACCTGGACTTCTCGAATACGTGCCGAGTGTTCTACCGTTGCACCACGAAGGCATGCGAAAGGTATTTTCAACAGTATTAAAAACCTTACATTAAAAGGCTGTTTGATTGTGGAGAGCTATGCTACATTCAGTTAGTGTTAGTTTTAATAAAAGTAAAAGTAACTATGTATTAAAAACCAATAAAGAAATCTGTGTACCGCTGTCGATCGTGAGCTCGAGGCAGAAATTTTTATAGTTATGATTCTTACGAGTACATGGATTTAATAATAATCGTTTCTAACATTTGGATAAAATTTGCTGCAACCGTCGTCGTCATTATACATATAAATTTTAATTTGTTTTCCTGCAGATGAAAGTAATAATTTTTAACTTTTTTAAAAAAATAATATGCCTTTTTTAAAGACCAAATCCCACTATCACTCCAAATCAAAAAAAGGTGGTAGAAATGGATTACAAACCGTTAATTATGAAAATGGCGATTCTTACTCCGGGGAATGGATGAATGACTTTAAATGCGGTAGGTAGAAAGGAAAATTAATATTTGATTAATTAAATATGTAGAAATGAAACATGTCTTTTCAAATTGATGTATATTGTTGCTGGACCAAGTGTTTTGTGGAGTTTGGAAAATAGATTTAATGGATATTTTATGACTTCTATATAAAGAAATGGGTGCAGCGTTGCAGTTAATTTGTCTTCTTCCACTAAAACAAAATCTTATTTACAGAAACACTTCTGAATATATTTTTACATTTTAAATATGTTTTATACATAACATATGCTTCCTCATTCAACATTAATTTAAAAACAATGTTAAGTACTTTACTTTGTTAAGTACTTTTCTGTTAACGGGTCCCCAGTGGACAAATGTGCTGGTCCATTTATATCGCGTCACGAACAGCTGTGAAATATTTAATATGCGCTCTCCCGAAACTGCGCGGGATGCCGAACAGCTCCGCCTATGTGCACAGCGATCTGTTTTTGCTTAAAATCATGTTCCTTGGCATGATAAAGTCATTGTACCACCACAGTATGCATAGAAGAATGCATACTGCAATAATTACTTACCGATGAAATGAAGAATGCAATAATTACTTACATTCGCTTTCCCTTTAACCCTTTGCGGCACCTAAAAATTTCCTTCTGTAAGCACAGAAAAATTGAATGAAAAAGGATTTTTAAGTTACTATAGGTTATTCTGAACCTTCTTTATTTATAGTAGATGGCAGCTCAACACAAACCAGTCCATATATTTTAGCCATGTTTAGTTTTTTAAGACCCTCATTTTTCAAAAAAATCTTCCAGATTTTTTTAGGGTATAAAAGGAATTGTTTGAAAAAAAATTTTCTATGTTATTTTTTTGGCTGTATGCTAATCTTATTCTATATTAGTTTTAAATTTTTACCTTGAAATCTTACTTAAAATCAAACGGCGAACCCTGGGTGTGCCCAGACCAGGCTCACCGATAATCTATACAACTGAGAGTTTGTATTCTTTGTTTCTCCGCACCTCATCGGTCAGTTCATTGACAACAACGCTCGTTTTAGCACTCTTTTCGAAGCTCTATTCAATCAGTGTGCCACTTTGGGCACACCCACAGAATTAAAACGATAAGTGCTATCTTCACAAAATTTTATTTGTGTACTCCTCTAGGCCTAATTAGACTGCCTACTTTTTTCTTTTTTTCTTTTCTTTTTTTTTTTTTAAATCAAAACTCCGACTTTAAAAGGTAGCGTGCCGGAAAGGGCTAAAAGGTGAGTAGGAGAGAAACAAAACACAGTCGACCAAATTCAGATGGTGCCAAATTATCATCTATCTTATTTTAGTTCGGCGCCGCTTTGGCTGTTAGGGTTTTTGGAACGTGAAACTAAAAAAAAAAAAAAAAAAAAAATCAACAGCGCACTCGTCGAGACGGATCTTCCAACTGCCATCTGCGCGTATTAACCACTTATATCATAAGAGCAGCCAATAAAAAATGCAATAATTCCTTATAATTTTCATAAATATATTGATTTTCAAGGAATCCCTTTTTTCCGCCTTAGGGTACGGAACGAAAGTATGGCGAAGTTTGAATCTTGTGTACAGCGGATACTGGAAAAATGATAAAAGGAGTGACTTGGGAGAAATTTATCTCCCAGAATCACCTGAAAATTATCTATACAGTGGAACATGGAAGAGAGATCGTCGAAGTGTAAGTTCAGAAATAAACAGTTTTATAAATTTTACTTTAGCCTGCAAACTTAATAATTTTTTCTAACAAGATTATTTTAATGAAAGAAAAAGATCTCTGATTAAAATGATTTGAGTTCTGTCTTAATAAAAGGATTTCATACACAAGACCGCATTTATCGGACAAGCGTTTTGTTCTCTTTGCACATAGACACAATCATCGTATGTATATGGAAAGGTTCCGTGTTTTTTGAACAATGAAAATGGATCACTTTTCCCATCTCGTATCTTGACCATTCGTTTAATAGCTTCGCCATTTTACGACTGGAATTTTGCCGAAATTTTATTTTCCCTGCTTGAAATCTGCGCAGTCTATTGGTAAGGGGCTAACAAATGCATAAGACCCTTTGTTTTCGAGAAATAAATTAGAGAAACTTACTTTTTGACTTACCTACGTAGGAAAAAAAAAAGATATTTGATTATTGAACATGCTTCTGATTCCACAGAAAACATCTTCACCAGTACAGAGCTGCACTAGCAAAATTCAGTCAACTATAGATACAAGATCCTAGAATATTTACAGAATGTGAAATATTTTCCGGATCATATTTTGAGGCAGAACTGTCCTGCACAGCACGAATATTTGATCACACTATAGTGTGGATATTAGTTATATCTTGCCGATAAATTTGATAAGTAGTTAGAAAAAGTATTAGACTCAAAAGTTAAATTTCTGGTGGTCTAATTTAACATTGTGAGGTACTTCTACAGTTTATTCATAATTATATATGTAATATGTGTGTGTGTATCAGTCTGTCACAGACTGATACACACAAGTATGTAGCAAATGTAGATATTCTCCTGTGAATGCTCACATTCACAGGATCGCTTAGTGAGTAATCGAAATATTGGCTAAATATCTTTATTTCTCTCTTACACCAGCAACTGTCACATTCATCATGCACTGATGTTGAATGTTCAACAAAAATAACTTTGTTATATAATGTAAAAATACAAGGTTTTGAATCATACTTTATTATTAAAACATGTTATGGCATATGTCAAAATAGGAGAAAGCTTCAGTAACAGCGCATGTAAATAAACTGTTGAATTTAAAACCGACAGTACATTCTAAATCATTAAACGAAAACTATATCAATAATACACTTCACATAAATTATGTGATTAACATTATACAATCGCATTTATTGCAGCAACTTAAACTGTCATGATACTGCAGATTGCGCAAGAGTTTATAAAGTATTTTCTCCTTTCTTTCTGCGTGCCTTCATGATGTAACTGGATAGTCCGGCTAGCAATCGTGAGGTCCGTGTTCGTATCCCGCCGAGGGCATATCATATTGTTCACGTCTCCTATATCGATGAACATAATGGCTGTATAAGTCTCTTACTTTTACAACTCCATTTTTTAGTTAGTATAAATCTTCTATCTTCAAATGTAGCGTGTACTCTTGCCCTCGAATTCTCCAATTAGTTGCAGTTGCTCCTCTCAGCGACATATCTTAAAAAGAAATCGCATGTATGGAAAATAACTTTTCTTTACAAATTACCATCTGTTTATGGGAATAAAGCTACTTGTGGGAAACGTTTTTTCTTGGTATTTTATAAAAGTCAGAATTTTCTTTTCCGGCAACAACCACCAACACATTTCGGGCAACTGTACGACCACGGTCTACATAAGGGATTTTTATCTGTATATCATCAATATGACCAGAAGAAAATTTTCTTTTGGAGGTTCGTAACATTTTTGTTGCTTGCAATAGAAGATTCTCTTTCGCGGTGGCTCGGTTTATGGAAAGAAACTCGTGTTGTTCAGTCAGGGCTTGATATGAAGAAAAGAGAGGTTATAGCTCCTCTTCAAAATTTTTCTTTGGAATCTGATTTTCGGTATGGGCGCTGTTCAAATTTTTCTCAAAAGTATTAACAATTTCTTGACGCTGTTCTTCGGTTTCAATACCTATGATCTGTTCTACAGGCAAAGATGACGATGCTATGCATTTTTTCGGTTTAACGGCAACATGACTTTAGCGTATTCCTTTATGGTATGTGCTTGGCAAATTGAACAAAGGTCAAAACCAACTGATCATTTTGTTTGTATCATTATCATTCATCCATGCAGTTGTATATCCTGAGTGGCCCTTTCAAATGAGTCTTGTGTTTAACTATGATGAAGCTTTCCGTGAACATCTTTCCACATAGCGCATAGTTTGGGTATGTCTCAATTATTGAATTCCATACCATTACCTGAATGCAATTTAGCTGGGGCACCAAATGTTAAAAATATTCAAAGAAGGTGATACTCTACGTATTCAGCTGCTTTAGTTTTTAAAGGTCGTGACTACATGAACTTCGTTAATTAAATGGGTTTGATATACCATTGCATTTGCCATTTCTGTGTGACTGCAGGTCTATTAGATCGATATGATATCTTGAGCTTAATTCCGAACTGACCACCAGTTTCACAACAGCACCTTTTTTAGATGCAATATGTTTCATTTGATTGCGAATTTATGTACAGCATTACAATTTCATATGTGGTATTTTATATCAAACTTGAAATTCTTTAAACATGCGTGTTCTTCCTCCGTAGACTATTCTGATGCGAGTTTTGAATAATATACTATTTGTAATTCATTATTGGTAACATAATACTGTATATTTCACTTCCCCCTCCCCCTCCAAAAAAAGAAAAATCAAGGCTCATTGCAGTAACCATTCAATATATGCATTAAGGTGCTAGATAAAAAATAATAATAATTAAGCCAACTTTGAAAAAACAAACCTAGACTGGCAAACAGTAGTGTTCGGAAGTCTAACAAAGAGATGGCACGCAACTTATATCGCAGTAGAACAAAGAATTTAGAAAATTTTTTTTTGTCGCTTCTATCTCGGATTGTCGTTTTAACCCCTACCAGAGTTTTTCTGTGCTTGTCGGCATATACCGGCGATGGTCCGCGAATGTATAAGAATATAACCAAATATTCGGTCTTTTACCGACTTACTAGTGTGCAAAACTTAAGCAACTTTTCTAATTTTCGCCATCTAATTTTCAAATTTTTTGCAAAAATTCAAGTGGGAGACATGAAATTTATACTACAGGAACCACAGTGTAGCACTTACTGAGGAATGTATAGTATCAAGGAAAATATAGTAGCAAAAAAAAGTAGGACGCATGCAGCACGGAACGGTTAGCTAAAGGCTTTATTGATAGAACAGCGTTGGTACAAAAATCTGTAAATGCTTTATTGGTAGAATAATGTTGGTACAAAAAGCTTTCTGACCAAGAGGAAGAACTACAAACTAAAGAGCCGTAGAAAGGCATATGACCTCCCCTAATGAAATAGTTGCTTTGCATTGTGTTTCAATACCAAATTATCTAATAAATCTTGGGGTAACCGCTTCCATTTTTCAAGCAGTATCTGTTTCAGTTGTCTGGTGTTCTCCGAACCCTAAGATTGTACCACCAGGCGTATCCCTAAATTATTCCACACATGTTCAATAGAATTCAAATCAAGGGAACACACTGGCCAATCCATTCTGTGGATATCTTCACTCTCCAGGAGCTTCTAAACAGCATGAGTTCTGTGTGACCGTGCATTGTCATGCATAAAAACAAAGTCGGAACCAATGGCATCCCGGAGAAGACGCACATGGGGGGGGGGAGATAACATCTTCACATTAAAGATCTCCGAAAAGTCAACCTCTGTCGAAAATGTGAAACTCTGTCCGTTCGTTCATCATAATGCCTCCCATACAAACATGCCAGGACCGCCCCAACGATCCTTTCCGTGATGTTAGTGGGAGGTAAGTGTATCCCTACCTTTCCCTCGATGTGGTGGAAACGCACATCGCATGATTTGGCTGTCCTACTTATGCGGCTAATCGTGACTAACCCCTAAGCTAGTCACCCGCTCAGCCCACACTTTGGGAGTGGACGGTATGGGGAGGCATCAGTTGACTTCACAAGATTAGGACCACAATTCTGTTCGGTGCCCCGTGCAGGCTCGACAGGAACTGTAAGAGTACTGTCACTTCTGTATCGTGCTGTGTTTATTGTTATATCGTTTTTTAGACAATACCCGGGGTGTTAATACTAATCGTGTATTTGTTGCAAGACAACCCGGGTCTGAAACTTCACTCTGGAGTAATGTTTCTACCTCTCTCTATATCAGCTGGCACCAAGAATCATTTATTAGGCTGAAACGAATCTTCTCGGTACAGAAGACGAGACTCTATTGATGAGATGTTCAGTCGTTGAGCTCTCTACAACATTGTAAACGGTATCGCCGACTGACTGCTGTCAATGGTATGCAGCTTTTAGGAAGCTGGAGCATCATTGTCATATTACATGAACACCTCTATGGAATGGTCTGGCCACAGTAAAGTAGGATATCTGTCGTCCGGTTGCCATTCGCAACTGCTAAGCAATATTGTTCGCTATCTAGTTTTGATCTCTTTTCACCTGCAGAGCGATATATTGGTCATCAGTCACCGTTTCTTTTCTTTTCTTTTTTTTTGGGGGGGGTCGATTACCACTAACTTTGACTATGATTATAAGTTCTTTACCGGACTGCATAAGATACATAAGCCACTTATTCCACTTTTTTTTTTGGCTGTATTTTAGGTTGTTGTTATTTCATCCATGAGGAACACGCATGAATTTACTAGAATCTATTCGAGCGCCTTTACAACACATATAAACTACCTTCCTATGCAGTCTTTCTTTCAAGGGCAGCGCCAGAGTTCATGTAGCTGTCCGGCTATACCTGGGTGCACAGTTAAGGGCGGCAATATTTTTACAATTTAAGAAGGAATCGAGAGGCAAAAAGCTAGCTTTGCTTTCTTCATTCACATGACTCAAATCACTTGTGTAGAACAACCATGTACTGTTTTTACGTACAAAGCAACCAGCCGTGCATACAAAGCAGCAAGTCTATATACGGTTATTTATATTCTAAAGAATTAACTTCCTCAGGTTGATATAGGGTTAATACTTGATCCTGAGATAACTCAAACAATAATTTTCAGACGAGACCATGCCTAGAAGCCTTCAAACAAGATACATATTTTTGAATAAAGAATAATCAGTTGTTCAATTGATGAGAAATACCTTTGCCTCACATATGATACATTTCTCTTTAGCTTAGGTTATTTGAATATGGCAAATCCACGAAGGCTATTGTTCTAAAATTAGGGATGCCTTCTCGAAGAACTTGCTGACAGAGCTGTGTCGTATTCTTGTTACACTCGTGGAAAACCATACAGGACTGGGACTGAACCCAAACATGGTCGAACTACCAGCATTCACCGGTCTTAACTACATTGCCACTGATGAAACTGATACCTTACTGACGTTTAATATATCAGTAGTACGATTAAAAAGTATAAGCAGAGCTTGGCAAGCATATGTTCATTAATTAGTCACAATAATATTTTATTTCTTAGTAATAAGCTTCTGCTGTAGTATAAATCTGTGATCGCCCCCTCTCCATAGTAATTTATAATTCCAACTCGAAAGATATACTATTTTATACCAACTCGGAGAATATAATATGTTGATAATAATGTTTCACATCGAGATCTTAAAATTGACACCATAATAAATAACGTCGTGATTTCTTATTCGCGATGAGAAGCCTTCATTCTACTTCGCAGCGCTTGTGTCTGTAAACAGTTCTTTATTTAATGAGCTGTTTTCTTGAGCACCGAATTTTCCCATAGTTCGCGTGAGAAAGTTACATCTGCCGCCCTTCATTTGACCCTAAATTTTAAAAGCTTATATCAGGGTTGTCGCTAAACCAGCGTTTCTCAACTTTTTACTCTTGAGAAATCTTTGGTGCCATATTCATTCATTGAGCGCTTACATAAAATTATTATAAATCATTACAAATATATTTCTTTGTCTTTTATAAAATTAAAAATTTATGTGAAAAACATAATATAAATTTTCTGGTGTTTTTTTTTTTTTTTTTTTAAAGTTATTGATTACACAAACGAAAAGGGAGGGGGAAAAACTTGCTGAAATTAAATTGCGTATTTAAGAGAGCTCATACGAAAGTTTCCATTCACAAACAGCGATTTTTATTTACTGCCAACCAATATTTACAACAACTGTGCGAAAGTTCGCAATAGTATCATGATGCTTGGAACTTTGTTCTGGAAATTGAAATTAAAAATAAATAGCAGAAGTTCAAAAGAACCCCTCTTCCATGTCTTTGTTCTAAGAATAACGAAACTCTGAAATGTTTCTCTTTTAACAAGGATTTATTCCCTCGAATCACAATTTAGCTGTTATTCATAGTTTTCATTTAAAAGTTTCAACAAGTATCACAAGAGTAGGTAGCTGTTGAAATTTTATATCAATTTCTTTAAATACTTTATCTCGTATAAAACTATTTCTGTACGCAATTTAGTTTCGCATGGCCTTCAGAATCTCGCTATTTATTACCTACCTCGATGACAAGTATGACTGACCTCTAGAAAATAATATTTCACATATAAAATGCCCTCTGAGGCTGACCGCCCTCTTCTCACTGGCGTCTTATACTCAAAATTAGCACTGATACGTGAATCCGTCATTTACAGTTTTTACGTACTAATCACTAATCGGTTCTATTCTGGCAAGGCAGAAATATTGTTAAATATGTTAATATTTAAGACAGATGTTAATATTTGCTTGTAGATGATACCACAATATGTTAAAGACATTATTACTATACCCAAGTTTACAAGACTATGTCGCACATGTATAATAACATAACGAAAATGTAACATAAAACATTTCATTTATATGCAAGGTCTCACAAAAGTCATCGAACACGTTTATTCTCTGAAAATATCAAAAAGTTCTTATAATTAAAATTATAAAGAATTGTTTATAATAACTGAAGAGAACTGAAATTATAAAGCATTTTCTTCTTATCTAATCTTTTTATGGCAAGTGTCCAAATCCGCGAATATTTTCCCACAATGAATCTATGAATATTTTTCCTGGGCGATTTTCCGGGAAAATGCTAGGGTTCTAAGAAATGTTTATTTAATGGATGTTCAATAGCAGTAAGCTGAAAGATAACTGTTTATCGTTGTCAATAATTCAGATATGCAGATTTCTTCAGTCATTTATACGCATTTTACCTTTCAATTCGTTATAACATACTGTAGCCGAGTTTGTTATCTTATAAGGTATTTCTCCCGCCTTCCTAGCGTGCTTTCGTGCTGTAGTGGTTCTGCAGGCTGGACCAATATTCCAGAGGTCCATGGTTCGATTCCCGGCGAAGGCGACTGCTCATTTTTTATCTTGCCTACTTCCAAAAAATACCTAATGGCTCTACATTGGCGCCCGAACTAAAAGGGTGTTGGATGATGATTCTCCTCTCCCAGGATTTGGCGACTGGATTTCCTAAAAACCCCAGTCGCCCTTTAAAAGGGGGAATACTTCTCCCGCCTTCCTAGCATGCCTTCGTGGTGTAGTGGTCAGTACACTGGGCCGGTATTCCAGATGTCCGCGGTTCGATTCCCGGCGAAGGCGATTGCTCATTTTTCATCTTGCGCGATTCCAAAAAATACCGAATGTCTCTACAATCTTGTTTTACATTTCATATAAAGCCATAAACAAAGCGCACTATTTCTAAACAATTTTAAAAAAATCAATTCAATATTTATATTTTTAAAAGGAAATTTTCACTAAAATGTAGAAAAATGGAACTTCTGCTCGGTTTAAGAAATCTGAATTTCAAACTTTGAAACTTCTCTTCCCGTCTGAAGTCGATTTTTTTTCAGATAGATTAATTAATTCAAATTTATTGGCAGATTTACAAACCGTTTCTTCATAGTATGCATATTCCTATCTTTGTACTTAAAGGGACATGGTATCGAATACTGCAGAGACGGCAGCCGCTACGAAGGTGGATGGAAGAAAGACAAAAGATCTGGCCAAGGCAGAATGGACTATGCAGATGGATCGATTTACGTCGGACAGTGGTCAAAAGGCAAAAGATCTGGATTCGGAAAAATGGTATATGCAGATGGAGCATATTACACTGGAAACTGGTTTCAAGACATGCGATGGGGAGAAGGAACTTTCGTAGCTAGTTAGTGTCTTTCGAATCACAGTAAAAGAAATTTACTTCTGTTATTTAAGGAAAGAATGTAATAATTTAAGCTAAATGGACTTTGTTAACCCTTTCGTGCACGTGGCAGCTAGAGTAGTCAGCTCTCAAATTTAAAATTTGCACACTACGGCTGTCCACGTTCAGCGATTAGAGAATTACTTCCGTAAATACACTACTAAGTTTTCAATGGAACACAATTGATATAGCCGCCTTGATCATATTGCTCTAGCTAAAGGAAGGCGGTCAGCTGAAGAAGGCACATTTTTGGAGGCGGTATTTTTCACGTGAAACATTATTTTATAGGAGTTAGTCATGTGAATCGTCGAAGCACGTAAAGAATAATGAGATTCTGAGTCACATACCGAATTAAATTGAGGATAAAAAGTAGTTTTTACCTGAGGTAATGTATTCAAAGAAAAGCAACACGAGAATTCGACAGCTACGTACACTTGCTACACCATTTTTATTCCGTCCAAACTTTTGAATAAAAATTACGTATATTAACTGAATCGTGATCACAGGAACAGTAATAATGAAGAAGTCTTTATTAACAGAGAATTTTTCAAGAATTCTGTTTCCATTAATGATAGGGAAAACGAAACAGAGACGTAGAAGGGCAGTCCTTTTTGAACTTCTGCAGTTAATTCTAAAATACAGTTTCCAGAACAAATATTGTAATACTACTGAGAACGTTCCTACCTACTGCTGTGACTGTTGTTAGTTTGAAAAGAGCTTTCTAAATAAAAAAATCACTCAGAAAATATTTTAGAAATTTAAATTTTTATTTTGCATCTTTTTCTACAGTCTACACTACAACAAACAGAGCAGTCGACTGCTATGATGCCATCGATGGTTTTTGAGAACAAACAAACAAATTTAAAAAAAGAAAAAAAAAAGAGAGAGAGCGAAAAAAAATTTTTTTTTTTTTGTCAAATATAAACTTAGTGTTTAAATTTACTTCCTTATATGCCATTTTGACATTTTTTATTTATTTGTATATCCAGAGGGGCAGCAAATTCGGGGACCGCCCTGGGCAGCTGTGATTAGTGCTGTTGGCTGTCGTATCACTGGGCCCGGCTTAGAACCCGGAGAACGCTTGGATGTTTGTGTCTGTGTGACTTATATGCACTTAAAATACAACAGACCAAAATCATTTTGAGAGGCTTTATGGTAGGGAAAGAGGAGTGGAAGACACTCAAATCCGGTTTCAGAGGTTCTCCATCAAAACTGAGACGGAACTTTCCCGTTCTTACGGCTGCATCTCAGGTAACGTTCTCAGTAGTGAGATGGCTAAATGACCAGTGTCTATTGGCCATTTCCGGCGAATGCGTTCAGTTGCAAACATCCTGTCATTTTAAATAACAACAACAATTTATTGATATAATTTATTTAATAGGTTCCTTATAGCACAAGTAGCATTTCAGATAAGTTAGAGAAGCAGAATGTACTATGATAACAAATGTGGCCCCCTGAGCAACAGTAATTGCTGCTGTATAGCGATGCACAGCATTTACGCCGCAGGCTGTGCGAGTTTGACGACTGCCACCTTTGCAGGCTGTGCGAGTTTGACGACTGCCAACTTTGCAGGCTGTGCGAGTTTGACGACTGCCAACTTTGTAGGCTGTGCGAGTTTGACGACTGAATATTCTCCAACGTTCTGGCTGGTTCACGCGATTCAGTCAGTTTTTCTATTTTCTTGTATTTTATGATCTACACTTATTTATTTGAGTAACTGATGGCTATAGTACTATCCGTGCTTAAAATGGCTAAAAATCCGTTATGAAATGGCTGTAGTGTTATTCTTGTTTTAACGTGTACATGTTTCAATTAGAAATAAAATGTTTTTAAAGTTATCAGAGGAATTCTATAAGTCCTATAACACAAATACGAAGAAACCTCTAAAGGGATTTTGGATTTTGCAGTTCAGGCAGCTGTAATTCATTGCTGTTGCAACCGCTGGTGGTTTTTATTTCTTTATTATACGACCGTGTATGATACCTTAGACCAGACGTATACCATACGATAAAGATCTTATGAATGCCCAGCAGTTAAGACGATGTCAGATGAGAAGATTATGACATACATTTCCTGAATGTGTGTCGTTCAATATGCCACTGTAATCATAAACGCTAGGCTGTGCAGCTAAAGATAGGCAGTAGCAGTTCTTAAAATTTCGTCACCCGTTAAATCACCAGTTTTCGATGTTCAAGAAGATACCTTAAGTTATCAGCTTTCGGGGCTTATGGGCTTAAGCGATATGTAAAAGAAAATACCAAATAGTCACCATATAGTTCAAAAGCAGTAACGACGAAATGCAACAAGCAAATTATTCTGCACTGAGAACACATAATTGATGAAACATAATTGTTTTGGCGTGATGGGCTTTCTTTCATTTTTTCTAAAGTAAAATAATTCTTTGACATCTGCAACAGCCAATAACGGAGTACAGATTATTTATATATTTTAAATATTTGCTACTTATCACTGATCTCTGTCACCTTTCAGATAATTTTAGACATATCTAAAAATAAATTCTCTAGCACATAAAATACTTCCAGAAAACATTTTAATAGGATTTCTCTATATTATTCCAATATAGTTAACAAGTTTAAAAGTGCGACGTATTATATTTATTTTGCAAGGTTATGGCAAGAAAAAAGACGATTATAGTAAATATTAAGCGTTTCATACATCAAAATTCTTTAAATTACTTAGTGCAACAAAAACTATTTTCATTTTCCTGAATAACATATTTAGTCTTTACCCAAACAACGAATTCAACAAAATTCAAAAGTAATGCAAAGGACCATTTATTAATTCTTTCTACGCCACTTAGTGTAGTATTAAAAATGAACAGAAAGTGGAACCTACTGACGGATGAAAACAACACAAAGAATTGCGGTCGAACCCTTACATGGATTGTTTTTATTCCGTTTTAAACGGAAATAGAATTCAATTATTGTAGATTTCCAAAATGTAGGTATTAATGGATTTCAGCTAGTACATATAAGAATCCAACGCTAAATCCGAATTTGAAAAAAGGAGAATTATGTGTACTGAGATTCCACTTACGTCGACCCAACGACAAAGATCCATTATAAACTGAAGGAGGAGGTGAGGTCTTCTATCAAAAGTCTTTCACAGATAATGGATACCTAATTGTTCTTATTGACCAAACATTTTACAATTCTTTGTTGCTTCATGCGGGTATTTTACTTCTAAGGTGGTAATCTATTTTGCTAGAATAGTACAACCACCACAGATCACGAACTCCGAGATGGTGGGATAAAAATCGTCTTGCTTTTGGCAGACTTTTTTAGTTAGTCACATATAATTTCTTCATCATTTTAGAGCACCAGATCTTCCAATGTTGAACCACGATTGTCCGGTGATAGTTTCTTCTCCAAAGAATAATAGATACAAATCAAATTAATTCAGCATCCCAATATTTCCAGCATTTGATAGAATTCACGTTCCGCTATGTGGTCGTAGTTTTTCATAAATATCGGAGACGCTAGACATTATTGAATAGGTTTCTCGATTATATTGACTCTGAGATGTCTTGCTGTTGTGAAAGCCTAAATGAAACATCTCTGTTACTAATGGTTTATTAACTAGATTTCTTGTATTTCATTTTCAACATTAATGTTAAAATAAAAGATCTTCGTTCAGGAAAACAAAGTAATAGCCTTTTATAAAAGTAAAATTTACATTGCAGGCAATAAAGACCGATACAAAGGCTCTTGGAGAAGTGATATGAAAAATGGGGAAGGCATATATAATATTCATGCTTCAGCAGTTGAATTAGCGGGAGTTTGGATAAATAATATTCCACGCTGCTGTACTCTGCGTGTCACCAAACAAGACGGCATCACTTTTCCAATGAAGCTGGAAATCCCAGAGGTAAGTTACTTTTAATACAAAAAATTACTTTAATATAAAGCATATTTACTGAAAATATTAGAGACAGCTTTATATTTAAGAAGCTCATTAGTCAATAGCCATATCATAGCACGAAAAGAGTTAAATCGCTGTCAGTTTTAATTATGTTTATTTGTTTAATTGATTATCAAAATTTTCTTTAGAGAAAAATTACAAATCTCATTCGTATGTGCTTCCTGGGTCAAATCTGCTTGTCACGGATCTGGACTATTCGTGATATTTAAATGACATATGTGGAAATCTGAACCTTTCAGTACTCCAATAAAGCATAATATCTCAGAGAGCTTGAAGGCCACTTCAAAATAGTTAAATATTCAAGATAGAAAATAATGTACATTAGTTTATTTGATCGATCTGCATACTTAGTATGGTAATTAGCGAAAGCAACTGCAGTATCGTAAGGCATAGGTTCGAGATTATGAGAAAGACATAAGGGATACCTGTGAAATATCGGTTTGTTGGCGCTTACGTGTTATCCCATCGACTGTGAAACTGTCCTGAAGCAGTACGATTTAAGTTCTGAATAGCCGCCAGCTTCTGATTGGTAAAGTCGCTGAACTCCGGTAGTTCGGGTCGGAGTTCGAATCCCGGCAATAGGGCTTGGCTGTATGAGCGTTTTCATGGATTTCCCCATTTGTAACCTGTATACGAGCCAGTATGAATTAGAAAGTTCTCCACGAAGGCATTCCTTTCCTTAGGCAGATAGCCATCTAGTGCTTTGTGATAATCAAATAAACCAAAAAAAATTATGGATAAGCGTGACGTAACGATACATTCATAAAATCTGCCCTTTCGTTTCATGCAAGCCCAAACGATTCTCGACATGATATGTTTTGTTTTTATAAACAAGGATATAAATTAACTGTTATCGCCTGCATTTTTTTTTTTTTTTATTTTATTTTTATATTTATTTTGAATAAAATAATTCAAATTTTGGACTAGTTTCTACAGAACAATGGATTATTTTCAAAATTATGGGATCCTGCCATTAAAAAAAAGTAAATGTTAATGGACACGCTATATTCAGCAAAATATGACCCACAGAACAGTAATAGATTGGTAAAATTATCTGCCGGATGTTCGTACTCATATTGTTCTAAACGGAGTTTCCGGTGATATTGGAAAGCCTAAAAAATAGTACAAATCGACAAGAACCTTTTTATGAAACGCAAAACAAGGTGCATCCAATACTGATACTTTAAAAAAGGATACAGAGGCAATAATAAAGCGGCACCAGTACCTTTAGAATTCCGCATGAAAAACGACTGGCAAAATCTCCGCCAACTTTCACCGTCGAGGGGACTAAATACATAAGTACCGATTTACACTCATGTCCATAAATTAAGGATAATTTGGAGTCACGCGGAAATCGAAATGACGAGAGTGATATATAAGGAATACAGGCAAAGAAGTAAAATTGTTCGCAGGCACTTTATAAGCATTTCAGTGCAATAACCGAATAGTTATGACACAAAGGACGCATTTGGATGATTTTTTACGTGGTAGAATTATCGGCCGTCTGGAATATGGGCGTACCCAACTGGAAGTATCAGACAAACTTGGAATAGTGTCATCTCCAAGCTTTGACAACGATTCCAAGATGATGGTAATGTGAGTAGACGTTACAGCACAGGTCGCCCCAGAGTTACAACGCCGAATGAGGACCGGTATTTGGCAGTTACTGCCAAAAAAAAAAAAAAAAAAAAAAAAACAGGCGGAGCACAGCCTGAGACCTGTCTCGTCAGCCACTGGTACGACAATTTCAAAGCAGACCGTGTACAGACGCTTAGGGCAGATTGGTCTATATGCTCGTAGACCTGTCAGATGCGTTCCACTTACTGCAACTCACTGTCGCCTGCGGTTAGCCTGGAGTAGAGAGCATGCATTGTGGACACCGCAACAGTGGGCTTGTGTGATGTTTTCCGACGAGTCCAGGTTTAGCTTGCAGTCTGATTCTCGCCGGACTTTCATATGGAGAGCTCCAGGTACCCGTTACCACCAAGAAAACATCATTGAACGACACCGTTACGTGGTGCAGGAGTGCTCGTTTGGGGTGGAATTATTCTGGGTTCCAGAACTGACCTGCATGTTCAAATTGGAACCATGACAAGCCAAATCTATCGGGACGTCATTCTGGAACAACATGTACGTTTGTTTCGGGGCGCCATGAACGCGCAATTTGTGTTTATGGATGACAACGCCCGTTCTCATCGTGCAAACATCGTAAGCGAATGCCTTCAATCGGAGGATATCACCCGTATGGAATGGCCAGCATTCTCACCGGACTTGAGTATTGCATCGTCTGGGAGACATACAATGTATTCACAATCATACCAATCATGTAGTATTGGTTTTTTGTAAATAGGTTTTTTTATGTAATTTGCTCCAGGGAGAAAAAATCACTAATTTTTTAATAATATCAACATATAGCATTTTTTGATTTACTTTGGTTTAATAAATAAGCTTTACAAATAAGTCAAATTTGTTTTGCTTCTAACTCTTCCTTTGCCTGATTTTGCATAATCGTTAATTTATGGACATGAGTGCATTTTGCGTGTTGTGTTTTGAGGTAAAATTATCGGTAATAAGAGGTTGAAATCATCAGTTGTTTCGGACTTCCGTCTGTAGCGAATGCCTACGCAGAACGGATTATTAAGTAAACACATGTCTAAAAAAATTTTTGGGGGGGTATGGCACGTTTTCTGAAAATTTTGCTAGTTGAACATGATTAAAAGCAAAGCCGAATTAAAATAATGCCTATGATGATATTTATAGAAAAACATGAAAAATGATAACTAAATGTATTTATTAATTAATAAAAGATAAATATTTATATTATACTTTTTTATTACTGTTGTGTAACGAACACCTTTTAACTAACTAAGACAATATACTCGCTGAAATGTTGCTGTGCGGATGGCAATAAAAACGTACTAAGGAAAAAACAACTGAGAAGAGTGTGTGGTTAAATCAAACGATATAGACTTCAGAAAGGGATATGAATGATATTAAAGTCCTTCACGCTTCTGGGTTGATCTTTAGTTGAGGGAACCACTTTTCAGATGCACTAGGTGATTTGTAATATACAGATTAGAAAAAAAGTGAAACAAAAGAAATAATTAAATCCAGAACAGTTGAAAACTATATTCGTAATCTTGCTATCTGGTTCGTGTAAGGATCGTTAGATTAGCATGGCCAGCGCCAACAAAGTTACATACATCAAACTGTACACTGAATCCCAAAGCTTCAGGACCTAGTTCGGATTCTCATTCGTATAGCCAACGCATCCATGGATTTTATTAATGAACGGAGCTTTTTTTGATATTGTCATTTTGGGCATACAAAGATCAAATGATGAAGCGATAGAGTATTCGAAAAATAGGCAAACTGGCAATCACGTCAAAGCGACTTGTGCCTAAAGCGCCGTTCCCACTGGAGTTTATCTGAGCTAACGGAGTGGGTTCCATGTGTCGACTAGCTCCGCTGTGCCTGCAGTTCAGATTTTTCAACTCGCTGCCCTATAGGAAAAAACTGGTTTTGGAGATGGGTCGACTACGTTAGTTGTGTTCGTTAGCTCAGATAAACCCCAGTGGGAACGGCGCTTAAGAGTTTCAGTGTTTAAAGGAAGTTTTCGATTACAATAATTATGTTATGAAAGAAAGAAATTTTAAGGTTCTCAGCGCTGGTGTTGTGATAGATAGGCTTGAGGCAAAATAATCCCTTAACGAAGTTGCAAGTTTATTTTTTTGTAGACAAGTATATTATTTTTTCAATTATGGAAGCAATTCAAATAAAGTTAATCTAAGACCATCTTGGACTACAATATTCTTTGATGATCAATGTATGGCACTACTGGTCGAACTCAATCGCTGAGCAACAGCATTAACTCTCCGAACAATGGTTAAGCAGAAATAAAGCCAATATATGTTCTGATATCAACTTTCCTATTTTACGCATATAAAGGAAGGGTACGTATGCCAGGACGTCAGGAGTATGCGTCTCATGAGCGTTAAGATCAAAGGAACATGATTGCTATCCTCAACACGTTATATAGGTAAAAACTCGATAGTTAAAGGGGAGTTGGAACCTCTTGACATTCCTCAGGATATTGAATCGACCTACATGAGTTCACAAAGAATCGCGTGATGGTTCAAGTAGCATGCGTGAGAATTCTGCGCTGTAGGAGTGGGTTTAGATTTTCGTTCGATGGGCGATTACTTTCGTAGTAATTCGAAGAATAAGCCTGGTGGACGAGTGCCAGTAAGCAGTGTCCAAGATGTTTTCCTGAACTCACTACAGACGAAAATTTTTGAGAATTTGAAGAATGGTCTCTGACCATGAACTATCGATGCGAAATTTGCGACAAATATACACGAGATCACATCCTTAAAATCGTTGCTAATCGATTATGGCAAAGCAAGTGACGGCTATGTACTGAGGAAGTGATGTCTTCCTGAAAGCCTTTTAAAAGAAAACTGGTTTATATTCATATCATATATGGAGAAAATCCCATGCCATTTAACAGACTATTACCATTTGTCAGTTCATTTACCATAAACCGAACTCTGGTCAAGCTACTAGTGTTCAGTTATCTCATCCTTTCGGCCAACGGTGGGCTACATGTTCATTATTTGTTATATTTTATTTGCCTATATCACTTTTTTTTAATGCAGTAAGTGTAAAGTAAGCATTTAAGGGTTAAAAATATACCCACTTCATTAATTTTGATACTTGAGAGTAAGTAAATCCATTTGACTAACTTCTTAATTTAGAGCCAATCAAACCTTAATTTTTGTCGAATTTACTGCCGAATTACTTTAATTAATAAAGTTTGGTAGGCACTATTTTTATGACGGTGTGCGTATTTTGTTTAGTAGAGATTAAATAGTTCTGCATATAGTTCAAATTAATTTTAATAATAATTCATTGGAATTCTATTAAGCAGTATGCATCTACTTTACAGTGCACATTGAAGGATTCTCAGGCAGTGATTGAGGAAGCAACAGCTCATTACTTATCGAAACTGAAGGACGAAAATTCGATGTAATAAAACTTTTTTTTTGTTGCATTACTTTCTACGTCATTTACTTCACCTGATTAATAATCTCAATATTCTTCTCACCTGCTCTTCACGAGGCATAACATCGAGTACTTTGAATATTGTTAAAAGAATCAGTATTTGGTGTATAATTAAGCAACACATACTATTCATTACACTTTAAATTTTCAACTTTATTCTTATATGTTTAGGAATTATTATATAAATAAGATATTCTTTTCAGATTAAATTTCAGAAATTTAATTCTGAGAATACTGTGATTAAATCAAATGTTCAACAAAAAGCGGGGAACATGATTAAAAACTTCCAGTAACTCACTTTATGAACCCAAATGCTGCAAAACTCTGAAACTATGCAAGCAATGTATAATAGGCGAGACTGGTTCAAAAATTTATTCCCAAGAGCAGCATAAATAATTCTATAGTTATCATATAAATAATAAGCTCTTTATTTATTTCTATAAAGCTTCGTTCACACTGTGGTTTCAAAGTCATAAAAAGAGGTCTGGCTGCTTAGCAATGATAACCTGTTACGACTGTTTGAAGTCATAACAGGTTATCGTTATTATCGTCACAATAAATAGGTTTAAAAATTCTGCCTAAAAGTTCCAACTTTTCACCTTTATGTCAAGTTGGTACAAGGTTTTGTTCGGATAGAAGATTTTTATATCACAAGAGGCATAACCATGAGACATAAAATGCGAGTTCCATCCACACCTGCAAGGATCTAAGCCATAGCCCAGGGGTTCTCAACCCTATGCCCGAGGGCCATGGCGCCTGCCAATCGTTTAACGTGTGCCCGCCGCGGTGCGATCACAATAAAAATGTTTCAGTTTTCAGTCAAATTATACGTGAAAGTTTGCTCATTCTTAATGAAATAAAAATTACGTCCAACATAGATACCAGCACAAAGCGAAATACGACCTCTCTTTCTCTCTCTCTCTCTCTTTTTTTTTTTTTTTTTTTTTTTGTGCATAACATAGCATGTATTATTAAGTATAAATAATACATGCTATGTTATGCACAAAAACATGTAATCCAACTGTAAATTCATCTTGAAAAAGTGTGTCCGCCGTCCAACAGAATGTGCTCTTAGGGGCGAAAAGGTTGGGGACCCCTGGTGCAAAGAATATGAAGGAAAATATATTACCATAGACATTCGAAATGAAAGCATAATTTAATATAGTATTAAATCAGAAATATTAATACAATAGTAACCATTTATTAAATACTTAAGTGCGAAAATGATTAATTGTAAATTAAACACTTTTTCTGTAAAATTAAAAAAATAAATAAATAAAATCCGTACGCAAAGTACATTGCAGAATACAGATTTTAAGTATAAAATAAGAGCAAAAGCTAATTCTCAAATGCAGATTTATGCTTCGTATCTCACTAACATTTCAAGTAGAAGGAATTTCGCCAACACCCTGTGCGTTTGCTTCAGTGCATACTGGCTTCGATTCGAAAGTCGCCTGAGGCTACTCGGGCTGGTTTGCATTATGTGTACGAGAGTTTGCCTTCTCCTCCTCTTCATATTCTTTGCCTGGTCTACCCAACGAGATAATATACTGTTATATGAAGTCGTTGGGTCTACCGAATGTCACTTCGTTTTGATTGGTCGGCTTTCACACCTAGCTGGCATAAAGTTGAAAAAAGCTTTACACCAAGCTGGCACAAAGAGCTTTTAGGTAAAATCCTTAAACCAGTTTTTGTGATGTAGCAACCAGATCTTGTTACAGCCGTATTAATAAAGTTAAATAAGTTTAATATTAGCACCTTGTGAACAAAGCTTAAAAACGCCATGTGAAAGAAGCTTAATATTTCACACTGTCAAATGATTTATACGTAACATTTAATGAAATTCGAAAAACATGACGCATCTCTTTGAAATAAACAACAAATTTATTATACATATATAGATATATATAAAAAGCATTTATAAATGTATTTTTATATATACAAATATTTGGTATATATCACATCAATTAAGATGCAAGTAAATGCGATAAAAAATTGCTGCACTAAAATGCTTTTCTTCTTTTTTTATAAAATAACATTTCTGAAACTTTTGGACTGAACTTTTGCAAACTATAGTGCTATTTAAAATAAATAATACATTAGAAATATAAACTAATTTACTATATTGCTTTTAAATCATATATAAAAATTAAAAAATTTCATTTTAGAAAGTTGCACGTATATATATATATATATATATATATATATACAGTATAAATATTAAATTATTGAAATAATTCCGTTTTGAATTATTTTGCTTTATATATTTCATAACTAACCATAACAAGGCCTATAAATTTGAATTTTCTACTATAAATGAAAAGAAAGAAAAACTTAATCCAATCAATATCCTTTTTCAAAATACTTTTTACCATTTTTGATTTTTCCCCTTACATTGCTGATTTATTTTTCTGCAATAATAAATCGTTTTTTCCAGAGTAGGGTCTTTTACTTCAGTTTTTAAAGTTTAATCATGAACATCTGATATAGCATAATATATTTCGCTCCCTTTCACAGAATATTAAAAATTATTATAATCTTAATTAATTATACTAGATGCCAACAAAGTTCACTAGATTACAAATAAATGAAAAATAACTGAATGTTAATAGTTTACTTATTTATGAAGCATTAAACATTTGAGAAAGTAGTGATGAACTGAAGAACTTCTCAGTAAGTACTACGTTCAATAAATATGTATTGTAATTTCTTTCTACTTTTAATTGCATGAAGACAATAAGAAATTTGATGAAGCCAGTTAGTTTTCTTTAAATCTTTTTTGGCTTCTCCCCCCCCCCAAGTAAGAAAATAGTCCTAGTGTACTTTTCCATAACTAAATAATGAAATCCAATCTAATGAACTTTTCCTTACATACACAGAATACATATGCAAAACAACTATCTTTTAAATGCATTAATTACACTTTTATGCACTTCAATTTTTAATTGAATTAACTGAAAAAAAAAAGCTTATACGATTTTATATACTTTTCAGATGGATCATTTACATAAGAACATTAAAAATATCAATGCACTAGATGATTATTATTTTAAATTATTGTTGCTTATTATATTATCATACATAAAAAATATAAAAACGTATACATATCCCACAAAATAATACTATAATATGAAAAATAAAGGGGGGGGAGAAGCCAAGTTTTAGAGAAATATCAAGCTAATATAATAAATGTGAAATACAGAAGTTCTCTTCTGTAATTCTTAGAACAATTCTCACCATTATATAAATACATTAATATAATATAAAAGACACAGGCCTATGAAAGAAATATACATTCAATATTTTCATCTAAAACATATAAACAACTTGCAACAACTATTTTATAACAATGTTTCTAATGACTAGTAATATTTCTCTGACGTAAATATGTATTTTTCTAAGAGAATAATATTGCATTTGAATATATCACTTCTGCCCATTAACAGTATAAAAATTACATCTTACTGCAGCACTAAAATTATATTCTTAAAAATACAGATGTTTGTACAATACTGACTTTGGCATAATGTAACTTCAATCCTGTAAAAACACAAAAACTTTCCCATTAAAATCAACAAATATATTAAACACTTTTTAATCTAAATAAATGTTGAATATCATTAGATCAAAACATTATCTATAACAGATTTTTTTAAAACACTCACACTTTCTGTAACAAGGATAAATACATATTTACAAAACTTTAATAACATTATATAATAAGGGGAATATTTTATTATATTTTACAATAAATGTATACCATTCCATGGTTACAAGAAAGATACTATATGCTTTTACATATTTTACAGATATATTGAAATGCTGTAAAACTTGGATATTCAAAAATTTATTTAAAACACATTGATGCAACTTGAATCATTACTTATCATGTCAAGCAATTAAATCATAATTAAAATATACTTCTAATTATTTGAATCACTTATTTGTCTTCCTTGCCTAATATGATTAACAATAAATGAATTTATTTAAATATTTAAAAAAAATGTTTCATTAATGAAACAATATATACTTCATTGCTTATTACAGGAATTCATGCTATTTACATATAGATTATTAAACAACAACTGTGTGATTTTTAATTGAACAGAAATACAGTATATGTTGCTCAAATAAAAAAAACCTCACTGTTTATTTGCATAGCAATTAATAACAATAACAATAAATAAAAACGAGAACATTTCTTCAGTTTTAGTACATGCTTAAGTTAAAATTAAAATTTAATTTTATCTTACTTTGGTTAAAATAAAAATATGCTAAGGGTTAAGCAAATCAAAAATGATTTTATTTCATTTTGTCCAGTAAAAACTGCTGTGTTTCGTATTTTAAGGAGAAGGACTGGCATTGGATTATGATATTAAGTTAGTCTGGCTAGCTATGGATTAATATTTAGAGCACTACTGTATAATTCATTTGAAAGAATGAATACAAATGATTAATTTAAATAAGTTTCGAATAAAAAGCTGCTTATACGAAAATGATACTACAATAAATATGAGGTTTATGAATTTAATTTCTCCAATACAAAACATATTACTTGACCTATCAACCTTTCAAGAAAATACAGAAAACATTCAAAAATGTATTATATACAAGTATTATATCCAAAAACATAATTCCCATAGTGACAAGAAAATTAATTATGTTTCAGGAAAAATTTATGAAATATACAAAAACAAAAAAACTATATTAAAAAGATATCAACAAAATTAAGACACCATTAAATAAACTTGCAATATGAGCCTTCAAACTGCAGATTAACACATGAATGATTTTAGAAACCAATATCTTTGCTGCTCTGAAATATGCAAGACCAAAGATCATATTTCAATTTTAAATAATGAAAGATATTTGTTTATGTAATATGCAAATTGACCATAAACTGCAAATTATCAGACTTCTGAGAACTAGAATTTGCTAGATTTCTAATCTCCTTTTAAATCAAAATAATACCTTCTTTAAATAAAATATTCTTTATTAATAATTAAAGTTAAGCAATGGATGACATTATTATAGAATTTTATTACTATTATTATTTTTCTTTGCTAAGGAAAACTTTTTAACTGAAACTGGCTTACTTATCCAGTTATGAATAAGTAATATATCCAAAAATGTACTTATCCAGTTATGAATAAGTAAGGCTTAAATAAGCCTATCTAGGGCCCCAGTTATTATTCACGCACACTCAGGTTAAGCAAAACTTTTCTTGTTTTTTACGAATTCTTATTTTCTAGTGACTGAAACAATCCAAGTTTTACTGCATTCATGGAATTTTATACAATTCCGATGTGGAAGATAGATAGGCACTATGCAGCATATTTTTAAACATAGGAACTCTTTTTACAATGACTAAAAGTAGTCTCATGCTAATACTAAATTCAAATATGAGATCTAATGTAACATTTTTATCACAGCATGCAATTCACCAATTCATTTTGAATTAAAATTTATTATCAAATATTTATTAATAAAAATACAAAATTTATAATAAAATAAATAATATTTTTGTAGTGGCTTTAGTTTTACCTACTTTGCTTATTTTTGGAGTTTTAGCAGTACAAATTTCAAATATTTTACGATGTTAGGACGGGCACTGAATTTTACTGCAAATGTGATGCAGAAAAACATATGAATAACAGCAAACATATAACCATATCAATATTATATACAAATATGGTGTCATATTTAAGCTTCCATCCAAATTTCACTAACATTACAGTGCTATTAACTATAGCATGATGTCATTCATACAGATTAAATAAGTGACGATTATCATGCATAACAAGGAACTTAATTACAAAAATAACTGATAAATATCAAGCAAAAATGTGTAGTACACTATACATATATAGCAATTATTGCTTAAATTAAATATTTAGCATCCAAGCTCAAGTGCAAAACTTATACTATTAAAATATATCTGAATATATACTGCTCAAGCACAAGCCAAACTTTTTCACAAACTTACCAAGACATCTAAAGAAATATTTAAACTTTTGTTTTTGAAGCAAGAAATATTAACTTTAATAAGGTTAAATTAAAAAAAAATGATTCTGGATCATTTTTCTTTAATAAAAAAACCCACTAGCATCAAGAGGTTAATAAGCACAATTCACTACATTTACAAGTTGACAGCACAACTATTTGAAAACCAGCATATATGATAGCCATCTTCAAGTACATTTTTCAAAAAGGTATTGATGCAATTTCTTTCATTACAAAAAATGTCTCTAAAAACAAATAATAAAAGAAACATTTAAAGGGAAGAAAAAAGTGTTTTTTGGGCTCACTGTTTTAACTTTATTTCATTAATTAATTTGGTAAAAACAGATCCATCAAACTGTTTTATAGTTTAAACATGATTTTAGCGTATTTGCATATATGAAAAATCCACACACACACACAAAAATGTGGTGGCAGAATGCAATCATCACAGTCATATCAATAAACTGGATATTCATAAACATGTAAAACTAAATTTAGTTTATTATCAGATTTAATAATAAGAATTCAAATATTTTTAATTAAATCTTTAGATTATATTAAAAGCAACAAATATGATAGTTATACTGATATGTCATTAAATACTTTGTATAAATTGCTATCTTATTTCAGAAAACTACTGATATTGATATAGAATGGAGCAACAATTTTCATTAGAAGACACACTTTCTTAACCACAGTGTATTACTAAGCTGTAATTATATCACTCTGTTATTGCAACAGACAGTAATTTCAAAAATACCAATGTTTAAATTGAGGTACCATTTAATAAAATATAATGATGTATAGCTGTCTGTGAAATGATATATTTGTGAAAGGGGGAAAAAAAGAATATAAACATGTGCAAATAAATGGCTGTAACTTTTATAAACCTGATCTTTTTTCTATCCTTCTCCACAAAAGCTATTTTTTTACATGTGGCCTATTAAATAAAAGCCCCAATACATATTTACACAACAGCAGGAGTTGTTGCTGTTCCTCAGTCCCAATTATTAAACTTCTAATAGAAAGGAAAGCAAATTCTGACGGAGTTTAAAATCTACTAGTTTAGATTCAGTATTCTTCAAGTAGCGATGAAGAACTGCTACAAATAAGATGTCACAGAAAGTTTTCAAATGCAGTAAAGTTGGCAAAAACAGTTGCCAGATTACTTTTGGCCTCATGATAATGAATGTTACAGATTACTCTTCTTTCCTATTTTCCAACTATATTTAAAAATTTATAATTTAATATGCTGTACACTGTTGATTAGATATGCTACCTTGAGAGCTATATATGAAATTGTCTTCATTTCAACAATTATGTACGACATAGAAGCATACGTTTGGTGCTTGGAGGAGCTTGTGCATCTTTGAATGAAACTGGATATTATCTGGACAGCCTTTCTATTGATGTTTACCTTCAGATAAGTGATATGGAGGAGGTAATATATAACTTCCAGAAAGGTAATATATAATATCCATGCAGGTATTATGCATATTAGCCAGTGTGCTCCCTCTCTCAGAACAAAATTTACTTTTCATGACAGAATTTTACTGAGAACAGGTAGACTGGAATTTAAGCTATATGACAGAAATATTAACTGTTGTGCTTTTCAAAGATTTTGCATTAATAAAATACACCCTGCATAGAGAAAAAAGTATTATACATTATAGAAATCCTCTCCAGGAAGGTGAATATGATGTCTATACTGATGGGTCCAGTGTAGAGGGAGAATATCGGTTTTGCAGTTTTTTTAACAGACTGTGACAGTATAAGTTAAATGAATATAATTCAGTCTTTTAAGCAGAGGGCATTGCTATTTGCTTTGTAAAGGATTAAAAGATTCCTGAAAATTGGAAGTACAATCAGTGCTTACAGGATGTCTCAAAAGATCGTTGCCAAACTTAACATACTGGTCTGTCATGACAAACAAGATTTACATAGGAACTTGTGTCCGAAAACGCAAATGGTGACAGCTACAGGGCAGTGTTTGCAGGCTTGTAGGAGAATGGGAAATGTAATCATTTCAGGTGAGGACGTTGCTGAAGAAAATGAATCGGTTTACCAACTCAGTTCTTTATGGATATTTTGTGGAAAAAGTGTTGCTGGACATGATGGTTAACATTTTAGCAGCTAACATGCCCAAACATCTGGTTTCAGCATGATGGAGCATCTGCACATTTTAGCACCACTGTGCAGGAATACCTTGTAGGACATGTCTCGATCATTGAATTGGCAAAGGTAGAGCAGTTGAATGGCCACTGTGATCCACCGACTTAAGTTCCCTGGGTTTATACCTGCCTGTGGGGATACATAAAGTCCATGGTGTACAAGGACAGGAACATCAGACATGGATCTCCTCGCCAGGATCAAGGAAGTGGTGGCACGTATCCGTGACACACCTGCCCATTTCTGAACGAGTCCATGAATCCATGCATCAATGTTGTGAAGCATAGCAAGTATTGTGGCAAATGGAAGGAATTTTTAACATCTTCCAGGATTTAATCAAGTTCTTTAATAAAAGTCATATTAACAAACCTTTCCGACATTCATTCTTCCCCTCTACACTTGCGAATATTGACCTCTAGCGGTCGCCGTTCGCATTTACGGATACACGTTTCTGCCTAAATCTTGTTTGATATGACAGACCAGCATGTTAAGTTTGGCAATGACTTTTGAGACCCCCCTGTATAATGACAGTTTTTCAACCTTACAAGAACTCTTCGGCCCGAACCAAATGATCTGATATTAGATATATAAGAACTTTATTCTGAATTCTTCGGAGAGGCATATAATTAATCTGAACTGGGTAAAACCACATGTGGGTTTTATTGGAAAAGAAAGGGTTGACACAGAGGTAAAAGAGACTATTGCACAAAATGACACTGAAATCATTGAGCTGAAGCGATCAAAGAGGGATGCTGTGACCATTATGAAGGATTATACTACAAATTATCAGACATGTCCAATAGAAGTAAAAACTACATGAGACTGGCAACAATAAAAAATAGATAAATACATAATGACAAGATTTGAATTAAATTTTATTGGTTCATAGTTATTATCCTGCTTACTTTAAAAGATTTAATCTTCAAAACTCTGACCTGCGTGGCAGTTCGAATGAAATTGGAGATGCTAACCACTTTGTAGAGATGTGTCAACTTTTAAAAGATACAAGGGAAGATTTTATCATTAACAAAATTTTTAACATGGAATGGATTTTATCAAATTTTGACAAACATTTTGAGATCCACAAACCACTTTAGGGTTTGTAATTAGTGTCTCCTAAAACAGAAAACATATTCTCCATTACAAATGCAAACTCTCAACTAAGAAATCCTACTCAATTTTTTTAGTTAGACACTGATTAGGTAAAAATGTGCAATTATAACTATTAGTGTAAGGAAAGAAAAAATTGTGCCTCTCTTTCTTTCAATGAAAAGATAATTATGTGATAGCACCCTTAGCAAAAGAAAGAAAAACATGCAAAGGTAGTAAAGTGACAGTAGAAGACATTCGTAAGTGATAAATGAGGCAGAAGGAAGATACATATACATAATTTCAAATGGTTTTTATGAATGGAACAGAAAATTTAAGAATAACACAGCAACTTTGGACTTATTTAGATTAGTTTCTTATTAACTACTGCACAGAACTCAGGATAACTAAATATTTTATATTGTTTCCCAGTACAGAATACCTTATTTTGGAACTTAAATCTGAAGAAATTCTTTTTTTAAAAAAAATTATTGCTAATTTATAGTTAGTTTTTTATTTGTCTTCATCAAGAGAAAAACTTTTTTGCACGTATATTATAAATAAATTATATAAATATATTTAAATTCAAGTATTATGTCATAAATCAAATTAAACATGAAAAAAGCCACATCTGGTACCTTTATAAGTAGAAAATTAAGCCTCTTACATTTCATACATACTGGTAAATAACATGCAATGCTAACATCAGCAATTTAACTTCTTGCTCTAAAAATATTAAACACAAAATAACTTAACATATTTTATTTCAAACTTTGGCTTTAGCATTTTTTTAAAGCTTTTTAAAATTTTTTAAATATGACATATTAGCACATAATTTCAATACTTAAACTGTCAGGACGGAATGTTCTGAACACTGATCAACACCATCACCTTGAAGCCTATTTGCCAATGATTCCAACTCCCTCAAGCCATGCTTCGAAAGCTCAAATTTATGAGCTACTAGTTTTCTATAGAAATGAACAGCAAATATTAATAACAAAATTACAACAGGAAATAAAACAATAGTTGTGGCCCAGGCAGCTGTGAAACTGTATTCAAAGAATTTAACCCAACATAAAATAGCTATCTCAAAAAGAAACAGGAGTATTCCAAACACAGTTGAGAATGCCCATGCGGTTTCAATATAATAGTGCAGCTTTTCATGCGGTGATTCTGATATAGAGCAGGGAGTACTAGTAACAGCTTCGATGTGAGGAAGAATGCAAGTTGATATTAAAAGAGCAAGCATATGCACAGCTACCAGAAGCGTAGTACATATACAGAAAGTGATTAACAACCCTTCAGGAATATCCTTGCTGAGCTGAATTTCAACCATTGCAACCTGAAATAAGTTAAAAAGTACATTAAAACACTTTTTATAAAACAAATCAAACATGATTCATATATTTATATTATTCAAATAATTATGTGTATTTATTTACATATTTAATCATGTAGGATTAAATATAAATATCTGTCTATGTTAAGTAACAGACTTTTACACATAGTATAGTACACACATTTCGTTAATTACATACAAAAAATAATAACTCACTTTTGCAATTTTAGAAACTTCATAACACAGAAACAAATATCTTTGCTAATAATAATGTCAATAAAATGTATTTTAAAAAATCACTACAAACATATATTTAATAAGGATTTTATTTCAATTCGTATCAATAATTAGAATGAAATTAAAATATCTAAACATAGTAGAATCCTACTAATCCCAGTCTTTCGACATTCGATATAATTCAATGATAACTTTTTTTTAAAAATGATTGATGATTTCTGCTGGTGAAGCAAAACACATTACCTTTAAAATAATGTGTTAGTCTATTAATGGCAATTGCAATAATTTGTAACATTGCCTATATGGTGGTAACATCGTACCGAACTGCTAGCGTTCAGTGACTTTACCGCTCAGCCGCTGCTGGGCCTAACAGAAATAGAGTGACCATTTTACTTAATATGTAACCAGTCTCTTCCAATAAAATTTGCTTATTAGGCTAGAACTTTACAAATGCATTCAGGAAAATGGACACCAAAAATTTCCCTATTACCATGTACGCAGCGTATTCGGAAACTAAGTACTGTTTCATTCTAGCGCTGTCGCAGCTCTGTGGTAGGCGTCCCACGCATGCGCACTAGTCTTTCTTGTTCACTGACTTTCAATTGTCGCCATTTTGGTTGCTCTATGTTGTGTTTTCAGTTTGTTGTGCACATTCAAAATGTTTAAGACAATTAGTTCTCCCGCTGACTGTGAGATCCGTGCCATGATTAAATTTTTGAACGTGAGGAATGTTAAACCGGCCGAAATTTATCGTCAAGTAACAGAAGTTTACGGTGAATACACGATAAGTGATGGAATGGTGAGAAAATGGGTAAGAATGTTTAATGCAGGTTGAACAAATGTCCACGCCGAGCCTCGGAGTGGTCGGCCTTCTGTTGTCACCGATGATTTGGTAAGGAAAGTTGATGAAGAAATTCATGAGAACAGACGCTTCACAATGACAACTCTTTCAGAGGCATTTTCATAAATTTCACGTACTCTTTTGTTCGAAATTGTGTCTGACCACTTGAATTATCGCAAACTGTGTTCCCGATGGGTTCCAAAAATGCTCACTGATGTTCACAAAACAAAGCGTCTTGGTAGTGCCCTGACATTTCATTTCTCACGGGGTACAGTGATGAGGAGAAAACTTTTTAAACCAAATTGTGACAGGTGATGAAACTTGGGTGTGTCATTTCACACCAGAATCGAAACAACAATCGATGGAGTGGAGACACACTCATTCTTCTCCGAAAAAACAAAGTTCAAAGTGACAATGTCATCACAAAAAATCATGTGGACTGTCTTCTGGGATAGGAAAGGCATTTTGCTTACTGAATTTCGTCCCAGAGGTGAAACCATTAATGCGGCACGATATTGTGAGACTTTAACAAAACTAAGGCGGTGCCATTCAAAACAAATGAAGAGGAATGCTCAGTAAAGGAATTGTGTTGCTCTATGACAATGCTCGGCCCCATACTGCTGGTGTCATTCAATCGTTAATTCGACAGTTTCATTGGGAGCAGTTCGATCACAGGCCATACAGCCCTGACTTGGCGCCGTCCGACTATCACTTGTTCCTGCACATGAAGCATGAGCTTGGTGGTAAGCGCTTTGGATCTGACGATGACACGGAAAATGCTGTGGAGTCGTGGTTATCGAAATTGGCGGGAAGTTTCTTTGACGATGGTATACAAAAACTGGTAACCCGCTATGACAAGTGTTTGATCATTGGCGGAAACTATGTTGAAAAATAGTTAAGACATGTATTTTCACGTAAAAAAAAAAAATTGGATTCGAAAAAATTGTTTTACTATTTTTTTTTTTTTTCAAAACGGTACTCGGTACTTAGTTTCCGAATACGCCTCGTAGCTACGACAGAAACGAGAAAGAAGCAATGAAAGAGAAAAAAAAAAGTTAAAGTTAATGAAAACTGGCATGAAAATGAATGAAATGAAATAAAAATTTATACATTTTTAACACATTTTGAGAAAGTTACATTTTATGAGAAAAACCTGAAACAATATAACATATTATATTGAAAATTACACAGCACGACTTTCAAAACAGAGTATATAATATTATCTAGTTAAATCTAGCTTTGATAGATGGCACCGCATTACGGTGACTTTTCAGGATGTCTCGCTTTGCTCCACCTTGCTTGGTGCTTCTCCTTTTGCAGATTCCTCCGATTTCTCTTTGGAGATTTTCCAAGGTCCGGAATTTCATATCAGCAACGTTTTCGATATATGAAGAGTGAAAAATGTAGTTTTTGAGAACAGAATTCAGTAATGAATGAAATAAAACCTTAAAGAATATTTTACTTCTAAATTAAACATAATGCACCAGTTTAGTGCTATAAACATTAACCTAAGTATTTTAAGAGAGAGGCGTGGTCAATAAAATGTTATAGAATTTTTATCTCAAGTATGGTGGTTGCCCATTATAGAGGTCAATAATTTATAACCTTTGTTTGTCTTGATGCACTTTTTTTAATTGTTTCTAATAACAAAATAATATATATTTCAAAACTAACCCTTCACCACCATATGTTTTTATAAAAAGTATAATTCAAGAATAACAATAATTTTTATTGCATTATTTAGATTTTTCATGACAGGGAAAGAAAATTTTATTTGTGGGAGGAGCGAAACGATTTTGTAAGGAAAAGAATGTAACATAATGTATTGAGTAAAATAGTAGTGAAACATAAAGGTATTAGAAATTTGAAAGCATTTGGAAGAGCGAGATTGGAAAATTAATATCGTTAAGTAAACAAGAAAAATTATTAATGATGTGAAAGTGTTCAAAAGAACCCAGTTGATTTAATGAAGAAGCTTTACAGATAATTTTTGAAGATTCCAAATGTAATTAAGTGACCACCGTACTTAGCTAAAAAAATTCTTTTTTCCTTTTGAAATTTAATTCATATTCCATAACGAGAAATTTCAAGGCTTTTTTAGTTTGGCCAATATACACCAAACAGCACGATATATATCAAACAATGCTAAATTAACACAATAATTAAAAGCACATATGAGATTCATAAGAATCGAAAAATGAAAGAAATCGAAAAATGAAAAGAATCGAAAAATGAATTTTACTGATAGGTGAAGAAATAACTTTATTATTGAAAATATGGAGAAGTCGAGAAATTTTGTAATTGATAGTAAGTTTAAATAATTATTAGGTATGAGCCAGTTAAACGTCACTGCCAGCTTAGTATCCTGTTGACTAAATGTCTTGACAGTTAAGTGTCCCATAGCTAAATGTCCTGTCGGCTAAGTATCCTTGTCGTCTAAATGTCCTGTTGGCTAACTGTTCGTGTCGGCTAAATGTCCTGTTGGCTAACTGTCCGTGTCGGCTAAATGTCCTGTTGGCTAACTGTCCATGTCGGCTAAATGACCTGTGGGCTAAGTGTCCTTGTCGGCTAAATGACCTGTCAGCTAAGTGTCCGTGTCGGCTAAATGTCTGTGTTGGCTAAGTGTCCGTGTCGGCTAAATGTCTGTGTTGGCTAAGTGTCCGTGTCGGCTAACTGGTGTCGGTTAAGTGTCCCGTCGGCTAACTGGTGTCGGTTAAGTGTCCCGGACCAGGTAACAGTGTAGGCACACATTAATTACAGTCAAGAGTCTTTAATCCGGACTCGTCGGGACTTCGGCAATTCCAGATTATCGGTTTTTCTGGATTATAGATCATCAGTTTAAATCTGGTAAGATGACATGCAGAAATTATAAAATTAAAAATATGAAACCATAATTTATGAAATAAAGAGCAATTATGATCTAAAGGGTATTTATTTGTTTACTTTATTAAACATTTCTTTCAATGCGCGTATACATAAAGCAGACGTTACGCATTGTCGAAATTAGAAAATTGCAACCAGAAAATTATTTGATGTGTATTCGTGATATTTATAATGACGAGGAATTTGATTTAAATCATATCAAAGATGGAGTACAACGAGATGAAATACTACATTTAGTAAGGAATTATAAGCCGAATAAAATAAAAACATCTGCCCTGAAGATAAGGATAGTGCTGACAGATCAACTTCCAGTTCATTGTGTGCTGCGATGTCCCCCCCCCCTGCAGATCAGCGTGAAATTGATAAACAGATTTCGGAATGGTTAGAGAAACAAATTACCTCTCTGTCACTCTGTTCATGCCTTTATTCATTTTTTGCAGCAATTACACTTTTTGTTTGATGGACATTAAAATATGCTTTCGTTTTGTAGATCCTACGGCAGCTCCAGAATTCTAAATTCTTTTTGACATAATCGAAAGTTAAAGCTTACTTTTATAAAATTGCTCTGACAGTCTGCAAAAAATAATAAGCTGCATCCAATTAGAAGATTAAGGAACAACGCAATCTGCAACATTAACTGAAATAGATAATTTAGCTTAGCTTATACCGTCCGTTATACATTAAACGCGCATGCGTAAACGTATTATGCGCATGCGTAAACGCATATGTGCATGCGTAAAGGTAGTATGCGTCTACGCATGCGTAGAAAGTTTGTAGCTTTGAGTTCCGGATTAAAGACTTTTGACTGTACTGTAATCTTACAATTACAGTACATATTTATGTGTATGAATGCATGCACATGTTTTCCTGTTCTATTTGGAGATTTGTTATGGTATTTTATTTTTGTAACTTTCCCTTTGTGACAATAATTCTCAGAAATGATTTTGGTGGGATGGTTTATGCTTTTCGTGGAAATTTCTATCTACTTCATCTCTCCTCTCAATAACAAAGGGGCTTAAAGACAATCAGGTAGCTGCTGTAA